GGGGGAGGAGGAGATAATCTCTGTGGATGCATTGGCTCTTCTCAGCTTCCTGTGAGGGACCCGAGCTTAATTGCTTGGTTATGGGGTTTTAGGCTCTCGTGGCTGGGATTAGGCATTCGCCAGCTCTGTGGTCAGGGCACTTTTTGCCTGTCTGCTGGATCCAGAGAGGAGCCTGGCACTGTGGTCTGGGTGGGAGAGGATGGGGGCTGCTAGATCTGGGCATAAAGGGCAAAGGCCGCTTTCAGAGAGGGGGCTGTTTATTTGGCCCTGTTACTTCTGGGTTTCTAAGAGGGAACAAAATGCAACTTCTGGTGCAGCTCTTGGTGCTATGGGCTGATCCTGCCCCCTCCTCCATAGGCTTACATGTGGGGCAGGAAGACCTGGATGGTGGCACTTGGCACCAGGACTGCAGAAATGGATCACCTCTTCCTACATTCTCTGGCCAGGCAGCACGAGCCTTGCTTGCTAACCTGCTTGCAGGGTCCTTTATAACCTCTCCTCTCAGTCACAGAGCAGAAATCAGTTCCCATCTGCACCCATGCTCTGCAATCAGCCCCTACTATGCCCAAAGCCCGACAGAACCTCCAGAGGAGAAGCAGAGGCAGGACTTGGCATCAGCAGCTGCCAGCACCCCCTGCCCTCCCCTGAGCCCAGCTTTAAAATGGGCACCAACTCCTGCTCCTGAATCAGACCATATTCTCTCAAACAGCTCCCAGGCTGGAGAAGGAAACTTGGCAGCTGCCTGCAGGGAGAGAGGAGGGGACCCCTCTCATGGTGCTGGCAGCCCTTGGCCCCAAGGAAAGCAGTGTTTCTATTCTGCCACCATTGCTTGGCAAAGGCTGAAACCGAGGTGACTTCCAGTTTGGGAGTGAGAATGAGCTTGCAGAGCGCAGGGCTCGAAATGGTGCATTTTCTGCTGGCAGCGGTTCAGAGAAACCCACAAGCAAACATATTTTTTTGTATAAATAAGACAGTGTGTCTCGCCAGTTAAAGCAATTCAAACATGAATGTAGCAATTTAATTGGTGCCAATTGCTGTGTCTCAGTAGCATTAAGATTTCAGTCACAGACTCTTTCGCATGGTAGATGGGCCGGAAGGGGGAAGGCAGAGGGACCAGCAGGATGGGGCTGAGGGGAAAACTGGCCCACCTCCTGCTGCTTCAGGAGCCTTTTCCCCCTGAGCGGCCCTGTGCTGCCCATGGGGACCATTCCATAGCAGGGAGAGGGTGCCTCCTTCTCTATCTGTCTCCTGGTTTGCAGCCCACCATTTGACAGCCTGCACAGCACCCTGATACATCCCTGCACTCTCCAACCCTTCCCTGCTCCAGCTCCTGCACACCACAGCCTCCTGCCAGCCCCATCACACACTGGCTCTTGCTGAGCCCGGGGATGGGTGTTAGTGGAGCTCTGGATGTGCCCCTGCAGGCATGGCCTGCAGAGGATGAATCCATTCATGGGTGCAGGACAGATACCACACACTACACCACCCTGGCTGTCCTGGCACCAGCCTTTCTGTGGGAGTTTTGTGAGGTCCTGCTCCCTGAAAAGGCTCTGCACACCACTGTCCTCTGGCTCTGCACGTCAGTGGTTGCAAGGCAAAAGTACAAGCACAGATCAGGGCATGCCACAGCCTGTTGTGCACCCAGGGATGATGGAAAAGCAGGGTGTGAGGGGCAGCACGTCACTGTATGGCTTGTGTTGCCAGGCTAGGGGATGATGGACCCATGGGACCCCCTTGCTCAGCACATGACCCATCCCAGCACCTCTCTGTACATCCCCAGCACGTGTCCCTGTCCCTGTCACAGCTGGGGCTGCTCTGTGTCCCCTGTGGTGCCAGGAACATGCTGCCCTTTCAGGAGGAGGTGTCCCAGTGGGAGAGGAACAACAGAGGTGTGCTTGGCTTGGGCACCCTAATTAGGCAACAGGGAAAAGGAGGAGGGGAAACAACCACCCCTAAAACAAGCCTTGTTATGTCCAATTTGTGTGGCGAAGCGGAAGGAGCTCCCTGGAGCTGCTCCAGCCCCTCAGGAAACAATACCCAGTCTATACCCTCCCCTTGAAGCTCTTCTCCAGGGGATTTCTTTCCTTTGGTTAAAGTACAAACAAACAAACTCCAAGAAGTGTTCAGTTCCAATCCTCCCTCGCAGGGATAGGATACATCCAGCCAACCCCAAGCCCTCATGGTCCCCAGCTCCTTCCAGCTCTGGGCCAAAGGCAGCCCCAGCTGCCAGCGCCAGTGGCTGTGCTCCCACGGGGTTTGGCCACCACACAGCTCCTCTGCTCCCTGCCCTTTGCCACTCCAACCCGGGAAGATGCTTTGCTGGAGCCTGTCCCTATGGACACCATTGCAATCCCATCCCACTTCAGCACGGCATCAAACACTGGGACCAGAGGAACCTTGGGGACCAGGCACAGAACCCTCAGGCAGCAGTCAGTCATTCAGGCAATGCCACAGCCAGCCATCGTGGTCTCTTCTTGCACAGCATCACTCCTGCAGCTAGGGAGCATTTCTTAACCTCAGCTTTCCTCTGGTGCTCACTAAGACATTCCTGTCTTGCCCTAGTCCTCAGTGCTCTCCTCTCCCTACCAGTGTTGTTCTGAACACCTTGGAAATCCTGTCACAAACCCATCAAAAATGAGGCTGAAAGACATCATGGGGTCATTGTCCTGTTACAGTGCCCACATCTTCCCACCCAGAGCTTTGCCTGACATGTCCTTTGAGATCTGTCAGGCTGAAGGAAGCCAGCCTCGTGTCTTTAAGCCTACAGACATTTCCCCTAAAATCTCTTTTCTCTCTGTGGTGACCTTTCCTGTGCATGAAGACTATGTGTTACCTCCCCACAACACCCAGTGAGCAACAGGCCCCATCAACCCATCTCCTGGTCCTCTGCAGCCTCTTCTGAGCTTCTCATCACCCTCCTTGCTCTCCCCGAGCTTTTCCACTCCACATCCATCCCTGCTGAAGTGCTCAGCATCACTTGCTGGGGAGGACCTGCCCCTCCACCCTGCCTGTTTGAGCTGCCTCTAGCCATGCACCTTTCCGCATATCCCTTGGGAAGAGCTGTGGGATTCCTGCCTCAATGCTGCAATCTGGTTTGTGTCCACTATAGACTTCCTGATTGGTGCCAGACTCCACCGGGAGCTCTTGGGATGCCCCTGTGCTCCAGTGCACACTGGCTGCCCACCCAGTTCGGTTCCAGCCCATGGTTCAGAGCCCTGCAGGACCCCACAGGATATGCCCAGGGCTTTGGACAATAAGCCATGGCTAACTTCTCCCTGACTGCAGTGTTGCAGCTGTCTGTGCCTGTGTTCACACTCCATTCATGGGCACCCCAAACCCCCAGTCCTGTGTAGGGATGTGGGAGACAAGCTGAGAGTCCTTCAGCAAGGACTCTCCATGCTCTTGAGCTGGCTTAAGGGAGAGAGAAAAGTCCTTTGCATACTGCAAGTGGGTTGCTGTGACTTTGTGCTTCTTTAAAACACTGACCTCTCTTGATGCATCGACTGATTCGAGGGTGTTCCCTGGGTTCAGGAACACTGCTCGGGGTTGGTGACTGCTATAAAAGCCATAACACACCCGAGCCTGGGTGACATCCATGTCAAAGAGTGACTTCAAGCCTCATGTCAGACCCTGCCCAGGGCTGGCTGCCAGCTGGGGTGGCTGCCTGGTGGCTCCCCATCCAAGCCAGCCTGGCACTTGCACTCTGCCAGGCAGAGCTGTGTCTTTGGCACTGGCACCACCTGCCCAAATGAAACTTGCCTCTTTTCTGAGAGCATGGAGTGCACAGGCACCTTGTCCTGCAGGGTGCTGAGGGGGAAATGACCCTCCAACCCACTTCTTGATGGCCCCTGGGGACACTGGGTCTCGACATTGCTAGTCCTCCTTCAGACGGGAGACCCTCTGAAAAGATTTGGGGATGTAAAGCTTCTGCACAAGGGTTTGCACAGCAGGCCAACTACTTTAAGCTATTTGCCCAATGCTTTAGTGTAAACTCCAGCCATTCTGAGGCAAGGATAGAGGAACACAGAACCCCTTTCCACCACAAATTCTGCTTTGAATGATTCCCAGTTGGCAAGTGAGTTCAGGAGGCAGAAGCTCTGAGCCCACAGTGATCCCAGTGTGAGCATCAAAGCCTTGCAGATCATGCAAACCCCTGTTCCCAGGCTGTCAGAGCTACATAGTTCAGCACAGCTTCAATCCAGACCAGCTCCATCCTGTTGGAGGCCCTCAGCTCCAGTGCTTTCAGGATAGCAGAGCTGTTGCCCACATCCATGCCTAGAAGGGTTTTACCAGACTCTGCCCCTCCAGTACCTGGCACACCAGGGCACAGACCCTCGGCAGGGCTTGCAGATGTCCCTCTCCACCTTGGCCTGGCCCTCAGGCACACAAGTCCTGCCATGGGAACAGACCAAGGTGGTGTGGTCCTCGGAGCACCCTGAATTCAGAGATGACCATGGGTGTGCTCTGACGAGCTGACACAGGGTGACACTGCTTTGCAGTGGGGCACACTCATGCCTCCAAAGGATGCCTTGCTGGAAGAGTCTGAGCAGCCTCTTCCCCACGCACACCCCAGCCCTCCCACAGTCACTGAGCAGGGAGAGCCAGGACAACCCCCTGATCCAGGGAGAAGCAGAGATCACCTGGGCCCCACTCTCGCTGCAGTGGAGTCTCCCCTTCCTGCCCTACAGCCGCAGCATCCCCTTGACTCCTCTCAGCCATCCCAGTCCAGGACATGGTGAGAGCTGATGGGATGGCTTTTGCCGTGGGATGCTGCAGAGCTCATCCACTCTCTACCAAATACCACCTCCCCAGGGCTCGGCAGGGCCTTTTGGGGTGTCAGCCCCTTGCAGGAGAGCAAAGCCCCTTCCAGAGCAACTGTGCTGGGTCAGGGAGAGGGCCCATGGGGACTGTACCAGCTCCCATGCGAGGTTTCCCATCCGGAGGGCCGGAGCTGAGCGGGAAGGCGAGATGGCACCGGGGTGGGCGACACGGGAGCTTACCTTGGGCAGGGTCCCACAGGTCGAGTGCCTGTGCCGTACGTCCCACGGGCACTGGCTGCCCCGAAATTCCTTGATCTCCTCCTCTGCACTCTCTGTCTGCTGCCTGCTGAGGCTCTCCCTGCCCTCCCAGCCTTCCCCAGCTGGCAAGGCTTTTCCACTTAAAGGCGAAAGAGAGGGAAAGAAAGAAATGAAGTGGAGGGGAGGAGGGGAAAAAAAAAAGAAAATAAAATCAAAAGGAGAGGCGAGGCTGTGCCAGGGCTGGGCTGCAGCCAAGCCCCTGCTCTGCTCCTCTAGTGCATTTCAGCAGTGCCCCGGGCAGCCCCAGCCCAGCTGGGAGGGGGTCCATCCGCCTCGGACCTGAGTGTGGAGCAAAACCCTGGGCCGAGGGATGTGCACGCGTGTGTGTGTGCGTGTATAAATAAAAGAGACCTCGGGAGGAGGAGAAGGGGGGAGGCTGCCTCACCAATGAGGAGCGGAGCTCCTCCGACTTCCTCCCTCCACCCTCTGTGGGGACCCTTTGCGGAGCAGAACTCGAGATTAACGCCCGGCGGACGAGTGTGATGGGTGAAAAAAAAAGCTTTTAAAGGGAGGAGAAGCCAAAGTGACTGCAAGGAGAGGGGAGTTTTGCTGCGGGCTGCGATGGGGGCGAGCGGTGAGGGCTCGACTAACGGGAAACAAAAGGAGCCCGGACCAGCTCGACTATCGCCTCCTTAAACTGGAGGGAAGGAGCTGCTCTCTCCCTGTGTCTGCTTTCAATTCTGGCCTTTTTCCCTGTTTTCTTTTTCTTTTCTTTTCTTTCTTATTTTTCCCTCAAATCCCACCCCCCCCCCCCCCCCCCCCCCCCGCCGTTTTCTTTTTTTTTCCCCCCTTTCTCAGGATATGAGGGGATGTTTAGAAAATCCGCTGCCCACGCCAGCAGCTGACTCATGTTTTTATTAAAGAAGGCCTGTACTGAACCAGCTCCGCGTATTCCCCCTGGATCCCTCCCAGTGCTCTGCTGTGCCGGCACGGCACCTCCTGCCCCGCTGACCACCAATGCACCCTCACAACTCTTCTTCTTTTTGGAAGAGGGGATAAGAGGTCTTGTACAACTGAGATGCTGTGGCGGTGGGTGGGTTTATTCGGGAATTCTGGGCTGTTGGGGCTGACAAGAGGTACAGAGCTGGGAGAGGTGGCAGGAGTTTTCACCTTGGCCATGCCATCATCTCAGATGTCCCGCATGCCTCCTGTCCTTGAGGGGTGATGAACCAGCTTTAAATCCTCCCCACACCTTGATGAGTTCAAATCAAGTTTCTGAGACTCCCTCAATAGGCAAAACATCTTTTGTCCAAAAGAGGATTTTTTTTTTTCAGTTTGTTTCAGCACTGTAACAAGGGGCAGATGATCTTTGGATCAGAACCGCCTTTTGACCCATCAGTTCTGGCCACTGTTTTCTTCTTGGCGACGCTTAAGAGTGGTCAGGCATTGGAACAGGCTGCCCAGGGAAGTGGTGGAATCACCCTCCCTGAAATTGTTCAAAAATGTCAAGATGTGGCACGTGGGGACAGAGTTTAGCGGTGAGGATGGCAGTGGTGGGTTGAACTCAATGATCTTAAAGGTCTCTTCTAACCTTAACAATTCTGTGATTCTCCCTGATCCAAACATGGAAAACTGCAGAAGTGCACTGGCTATCCTGAAAAACGAGTCTCCCTTAAAAAGATACCTGTCCATCTTTCCTTGGTTTTCCTTTCTAAGAATTAAAAAGCCCTCCCCATAAAGACAACACCGCTGAAATCCATGTTCCTGCCTTGTTTGCAAGGCAGACTCATCCCCTCCTGCCTCCCGAAGGAATGCCTGCACAATGGCCACAGCTCATGATTCCCCAGCTGGACCAGCCCGATATTTGCTGCTTATCACCCGTTATCTCCGTGTTTCCTTTACACCAATGGAAAACCAAAGGGGAAGGTCTTTATTCTGTGCAGCTGTGGAGGGTGAGGAGAGCTGGGGTGCAGCACCCTGGTTATCCATGCATGATAAGCAGCCCTCAGCATGGGGCTGGTGTGCTGGCTCCATGCCTGGCAGCGTCTGGAACAGGGGCAGGTACTGCCACGGGCAGGGCAGGGGGGATGCAGCCCTGGGCAGATGGATTCCTCCACTCCAGTCAAGGTGGTGGCCATGTGTCAGGGGGTCCTGTCAGCTGCCCCTGAGCCAAGACAATCTGTTGTGCAGAAATGGAGCCATTGAGCGTGAGAGCAGCTCATATGGGGGGCAGGCGGCAGAGAGGACGTGCTGCACACACGGCTCTTCCCAACACTTTTCCCAAGGGATAAAGACGTGTCTGACTGGTCCTTCTGTGAGGACATACGGGCTGCTTGGAATTGCTCAGCAGAGCTATTTCCTGGCAGTGTCCCCCCTCCAAGGACAACATTACTGCTCCCAACAGAGCGGGAGAGGGAGAAACCTGCTGTACAATCCTGGTGGGCCCCTCGGTCCAGGGACAGGCTGCCTGGGGTGAGCAGGGGGTGGAAAAGCTAGCACAGACTGTGTTTGAGGGCAAAGCATCTGTAGTCTGAGGTGGGACATATTTCCCCCTCTGCCCTCTGCAAACAGATGGCACCACAGAATCACCAAATATTCTGAGTTGGAAGGGATGGACCCACAAGGATCATTGAGTCCAGCTCTTAAGTGAATGGCCCATATGAGTATCAAACACATGACCTTGACATTATTAGCACCATACTCTAACCAACTGAGCTAACATACTCTAGGCTGGGAGCAGGAAGAACCAGGGTAAACAAAACCCTCTCTCAGGAGAAGTCTGCAAAGGCCAGGATTCATTGTTTTGGGACGATGAGAAAGCCCTGGAGAGCCCACAGCATCCCGGCAAGCACACAGTTGTACATCCCCAGCCTGCGTTGTACATCCCCAGGGAGCATCTGGGACTGCACACTTTGTTTAGGAACAGCACGTTGGGGTTACGGCAGCTCCTGGGAAAGGCCAGTTTGGAGGAAGCACGGAAGCCAGAGGGACTTGCTTGTGCAAGTGTGTGGGTGGAGGGCAGCAGCTCTGCTACTTCGGCCTCATCACTCCTTCATTGCTCACCTCTATTTCTGGCGCCTGCACCCCCCATCAGTGGTGCTGCAGGACTCAGTGGTCCCCCTGGGGCCAGGACAGCTGCAGTGTGAGATGCCAGACCGCTCTCAGCTGGGATTTCCAGCCTCAATAATCATCATTAAGTGCTAACGGGGGCTTGGGATCACATAGTGCCACATCTCTGGTGGGGAAATCAGCCACTGAGACAGGCACACTCCAGGTTGTTTGGTCTGCTTTGGCATCATGTGGATCAAAGCAGCACTCCGACCTCCTGCCCCATCCCAGGCAGAACTGGGACCCCAGCAAAAAGCCCCTTTTCCACATCTGACAAGGAGAGAGACCAGAGCCAGGATGACCCAACACAGTGGTGGAAACAGCCATGCTGGAGTCAGCAACAGGTCCCATGTGCCAGCAGGTGACAGGTAGGTAGGAAAGAAGCAACAGATGTCAGCCTTTCCCACTTCTCCGAAGGCTTAACGAGAGCCAGATTTGCCCTGGCTTTGGTTTCTCCAAGTTCCTATCAACTCCAAGACAGCCCAGGAATTTCAGCATCGCTCTGATGTGGTGTCAAGCCGCAGACCACAAGAGAGGAGCAGTGGGTGCCAGGGAGCACAGCACCACATTTGGGCAGCCCATCTGGTGTGGCAGCTGCCAACACTTGCTCCTGGCTGAATCCAGCCCTCGAGCCCTGGGGGAGCTGCACCAAGGCTTCATCCAGCCTCTCCAGAGCTCTGCCCTGGCCTCCGGAGGAACAGCTACCCTGTGCATGGTCCTGCTTTGCCAGGGTGGGTGACAGCACTGCCCAGAGGAAGGGGAGGCAAAAAGTGCTGGACTTCTTCCAAAGTGACCATATGTCTGAGCACAATGCACTGGGGAGCATCCTGGGATGGGGAGTGTCCTGCAGCACCAGGAATACCAGCCATGGACCCTTCAGGGTGACAGCAGTGTCAGAAGGTAGCACTGAGCCATACACCATGTGGTGCTGTGTCCCTGCAGATGCTGGCCCATTCCCTACATCCCCTGGGTTTGGGCAGGGGAGGAGGCAGTGGCAGAGGATTCTAACCCGCTGCCTTTCCCCACCTCGGGGCCTTTCCGCCCCCATCCCACGCACTCTTCCTAACCCCCACAACGAACCTTGGTATTAAATGTGCTCGGCAGAGCCCCCGGGAGGCAGAGACAGGCTCCTGGGTGAATACTAATAGCGATGCCGTCCGGCCGCCCCAGACTTTCCCACACATCTGCAGCCACTTAATGTGGGAATTGGGAATCGTTAACCCTCTGCTTACACAGTGCCTGAAACACGGTGAAGGAGTGAAGCACAGCCAGGACACTCCCCACCAGTGCAGGGGGAATCCCATCCCAACACAGTGAAAGCAGGGACCCCATTGTGCTGGAAAGCAATGAGGGATGCCAGCATGTGTCCAATGCCCTCTTGAGGATAGTCCCAAAGTTTGTGGCGTTTGCATTTCCCAGGAAAGCTGCTCCAGATCCCCAAGAGGAACACAGCCCTGGATGGGGAGAGGGGAGTTCTATGGCAGTGCTGGCAGCACACCCATTCAGGCTATCCCAGCACTCATCCCCTCCAGGGACAAGCTCTGCAGAGTTTACTTGGCACAGGGCCACAAGTGCCAGCACAGATGTGGTTCAGGCACCTGGGAAGAGCCAAAGGGCTCACAGGAGTTTACATGGAGCTGATGGAGATGGGTCTGGGGCTTGTCCTTTGCAAGCAGGTTGCACTGATGTCTCTCCATTGCCAGGGAAGAGGAATTGGTCTTGGGTAATTCAGTGGGGCATCTGTGATTGCCCCATCCCTCCCTTGCCCTTTGGGATGCTGCTCCAAAGATGTGTGACAGGAATGATGCATGGGAGACATGTTCTGCTCTTCCTTTCCTCCTGCTCTGGGAGGGCAGCAGGAGAAGCTAGGGAATGACAGAAAGGTGATGGCTGGGCTGGGGTGTGTGTGGGGCCATGCAGCTCTGGGATGTGCTGGTCTGAAGCCACAGATTTGACTGTGGGGGCAATAGGAGCTGGAGGGAGAGGGGAAGTGGTGGGGCAGGAGGCTGGGAGGGGGAAAGGGTAGTGAGGAGAGGCACCTACTCGACTCTCTGCAGGCATCTCCCTTTCCTGCTGAAAACATGGTGGGGTTCAGAGCAAGCTGGGTGACAAGACAGGACTTGGTTTCCCAGATTGAATGCCTCCTCCATGGGAGGAGGAGGTGAAGGAATGGTCTCCCTGCTCCATCTGTGATAGCTGCTTGTAGCCTGGCCCTGGGGACCTTCCAGCCCTCCTGCTTCCAGGAGA